CCCATAATTTCTTCAGGATGTTTAAGTACCTGTTCCATTTGGGACAAAGAAGTGTGCCACCTACCCTGCAATGCACTCTACTCAGCTCCAAGTAGCTCTGGGCCCATTATCTCCCACATCAATGAGCACTGCTACACTTAGCAAGCACGTTGTAGTAGGCAAGTAGGCAAAACAGCTACATTTCCCCCTTTTCTGAATCCCACTCCAGCTAGATTTTCAGTGCCTTCCTTGGGAGCAGGTGCTTCACAATATGGAACTTAGTAATAATTCATGTTCTCATTAAAGGGGGCCTCTCTGCTTGGTAATATGCACATATCTAAAATGCCATTTATGATTTCAGGCTAGCCATCCTCAACCTGGTACCCCTCCCAAGGATTTGGACCACAACTCCGCTCACCATGCTGGCTGGGGCTGATGGGAATTGTAGTCCAAAACATCAAAAGAGCACCTGGCTGAGGAACCCTGTTTTCAGCACACTAAACTGCCATGTCAGAGGATGCGCCAGAGCCAGTATATTATAATGGTAGCAGAGCATCACACTAGGACATGTGAGACCTGGGTCCAAATCCTCACTTGCAGTGTTCGAAATTAGCCAGGCATGTTCTGCACCTGGCTATCAACCACTTGCGACCAAGTGAAGATGCCCACGAGCCAGGATGATGCCTGACATCTCCATCATCTGGAGGTGCATGCCTTGGGATCATTAGATTGTGCTTTCACACACAAATACCACATCCTGCAGAATTCTCTCCATTATGTTTCATCTGCGTAATTGGAATTAATTTCAGGAACCAAAACGCTTTTTCTGTGCAGCCTGAGCAGCAGCTATCACTATTAAGAAATAAGAGGCAGGAACAGGCCAATATATATGTGGACTGTCCCTGGATCAAGTGACCTTTCTTTTTTTTTAAGTTCTCAAAGCCCTTTACCTAGCTCAAGGTTGTCATCTGAACTAGCTAGATGCTTAACAGATAAACAATCACAGTCAGTCCATCATTTGAAAAATAAGACTTTAGAGCCGTCTTAGGCAACCGTAACCTTGGTTTAAGGGCTATTTTGGAGCCTAGCTGATATATCTGAGTTTCTAACACTGCTTGCTAATCGGCCTTGGGCCAGTCATTGCCTCTCAGCCATACCTACCTCACAGGGCTGTTGTGGCGATTAAACAAGGACAGAGTACACCACCTTGATCTCCTTGGAGAAAAGGTGGGATTTAAATGCAACAAATAAATATATAAAATACTGAAGATTCCTCTACCTGGGAGCAAACTTGCTATAGCCTCTTGATACTGCAACTTGCATTACATATACCCCCCTCTCAGAACATCAGCCCTTATGGTCCTAAAGGGCAACAGGATTCCCCTTCATGACTGCACATGCACAAGCACCAAAGAAGAAAAAACACCATTACCCATTTCTGACATTAGTTTCTAAACTCAAAGCCCTTCCACCCGAGATCTTTTAACTGTTAGTACAAAGAAATTAACCTGGGACCTTGGGCATGAAAAGCATATGCTCTCTGACACTGAGCTATATAGGCAAGTCCCCAAACTTTAGGGATTTCTTGCTTAGCAGAGTAGGGTTGGGGGGGGGTTAATATGCTTCCTGGCAGTTGCTGAAAAACATTTTGGTGTCTTAATTCCATCTGACTTTTAGCAGCAATTGTGTTTTATTGCAACTTTTTAATGGTTCTATCTTTTTAAGTGCTTGCATACTGTTGTATTCTAATCTTTGGTTATATGTCACTTTGGGCATTTTCATTAAAAAGTGATGATTAAATATTGTAAATAATTTAAGCAATGAAACTGACTGCCTCTTTGTACGGTATGCGTACAAAGTATTTTTTTACACCATAAAAATCATGAGTACAGTATAAGAACTGCATCTCAGTGATTTGCAGCCTGGTCCTGTGGGTGTTTATACAGCAGTAAACCCATTGAGCACAATAGAGCTTACTTCCAAGTAAGGGTGCATAGAACCGAAGTCATAATTTTCCTCCCACAAGACAGGCGTGTCGTGGCACTTTTGGATTTTGCTGTAACCACAAGTCCAAATCTTCTGGAGAGCAAGCCACACTTGTCATGATCTGGACCACGTGTATTTTTTGCAAATGGACAGCTTTTTTAAAATCGCAAAACGGATTATTGAAAAGGTACACAACAATTGTTTTTAGGTAAGATTTTCTTTCTGCAACACTACTAGCCCCACAGGGGCAGCTTTTCACATTTCAATAGGCAACTAAAGAGAGTGGCAGCAAAGTCCTCAGCAAAGCTTCAAAGGCCTGCCCTTGAAGATTTCAGTGCAGAAAAAGCTGTTGTGTTTCGAGGGCATTTGTTGCAATATGTTTGCAACTCCTACTAACTAGGAAAATGACGTCAAATGAAATGATGTTCAATGAGCCACCCTCTTTTTAGGAAAAATGGGTTTGTGCCTTTGGCATGAGAACAGAATAGCAGCACAACGGGATCACACCAAAGTCCACTTAGTCTAGCAATCTGTTTCCAACAGTGGTCAGTTAGATTCCACCCCCAGAGCTGGGCATGAAGATAGCAATCACACCCTGCTTCTTGTCCCCATTTTTTAAATTTATACAGTACCAAAAAAATCTCGCTTTCCCCTCTGAAAGGCACTAATCAAAGTGGCTAGGTAAAACAAATGAAAATGAATATAGATTCAGAACCACGTGGCTAAAACCTGTGTATATCTATGCCTTATGAAACCTAGTGGCCGTCTCCACATCTTGTGGCAGTAAAATCAATACATTCATGATGCATTGTTCATCCCCAATACAAAGGCCCAGGTTTATCTGGTTTTGTGTGGGGCCAGAAATATAGGGATACATTTAGTCTGGAACACATTGAATGGGAGGACTGGAACAGGGACAGGCCATAGCACCATGGTACAGTGTCTGCTTCACATACAGAATAGCCCAGGATTGATCCCCTGAATCTCTAGGTAGGGCTGCAAGCGTCACCTGTCTGAAATCCAGGAGCTGCTGCCAGTCAGTATAGACCACACTCAGCTAGACTGACCAATGGTCTGACTCTGTACAAGGCAGCTTCCTATGTTCCCTACCTTCTAAACTGTACCCCAGCAATTCTGTTATCAGAATGGAACTTTGCTTCTTTTAACAGCTAAGCACCCTTGTTCTATACAAGCCATTTATAACGTGAAAGAAAATGAAGACAGAACTTTTGGAGAGGCAGAGTGAATACTCCCCCACCCCCTTTCAAATTAAGAATGCAATGAAGAACAGCAATTACGTGGTGTGGAAAGCTTTCTTGCACAGTTCAAGACTGCCTTGAACCGTGGACATAATTAAGCTTACTATGCAGTATCTTTCTGTCCAATGCAAATACCCTAAGTTTTCTGAATATCTAGCCAGCCTCTATGGGGATCTAACAGGCAGCCTTCAGTGAACTCAACAAGAGCATCAGCTGCTGCATACAAAATGCTACTGTAGAAGAAAAGTACAGTACAGCAATATAATAGGGCCGCTGGTCTCTCTTATGTGATAAACATATCAATCTAAGCAGTTCGCCAAGTATGTTTCAACCAACATATTGGCTTTGCTACTCAGAGATCCACTGAAATGAAGCACACAGAACACATGCACCGCATTGATTTCATTAGGTAGCAATGGGGGGGGGAGAATAATTAAATGTGCTTTGTGCAGTAGCAATACCACCTTGCAATAAGAAATACTATTTTGGGGTGAATACTAATATTCAACTATAAGTGTCAATTAGAGCTGCATATTCTCATAGGCATGTGGAATTCAGCTGGAATTGTCAGGTGTAAAGGTCTGAAACAGCCAGTTCAGATTACTGCTGTCGTATTTCTACACCACAAAAGAATGTCAGGGAAAAGGTGCATCACTGTGAAAGGCTGGCAACATCTGGAAGAGAATGTTGCCCATGTAATACTCAGTAAGAAGAGAAAGCTAGACACACCATTTTTACTAATTATTTAAAACATCTCAATTAAAGTCACAAACTGAAGCTATTGAAGCCGTAGGATATACTACTTTGGGATCATAAGGAAGGAAAAGCAGAATGAAATTAATCCAGCCTTGTATTAGGTCTTGGACCAGAGAAGCTCCTTCCCACGTTGCCTTTTAGTACCAAAACATGATCTTAACTACTACATGTGCCTCAGCACTACCCACAACAGGGTGAAGTGAGGACAGAATGAGGCTGGAATGCTATTCCAGACATGCCAGTTTTAAAAACCATCAAGGGCCATAAGCACAGCATTTTTGTGTCATTTTAATCAAGAGAAAAAAGAAAGCAGATCTGCTCCCAAATTGTACTTGCTTTTTGCTGCTTCTGTGACAACAGTGGCAGGCTGAAACAGAGGAGAAGAAGTAGGAAGATGCTAGGACATATCTCCTTCGCTTAGCACAGTAGTAAAGCACTTTGCTGTACTGCAGGTTTACTGCTTTGCTCACTTAACGCTCAAGTAAAAATTTACCTAGCAGTGCATTCTCTCCTAGGGTTCAATACCAGCATGCTCTGGTCCTTTGAAACACCAAACTCCACGTGGATGTAAAATACTACTCTGGGGAAAACATCAATATGATTTAAAGCTGTGCAACTCATAAACCTTCTACTGGAATCCAAAGAATCTCAGATTTTGCTTCTTTTAGCAAAGTTGTGTTCCTAGCCCTCGTGGTGGCAGAGGAAAGCCTGAAGGAAAAGCTGCTAACAGACTAGATGCAATCAGAGCAGCGCAAACTACCCAGAACAATTTCAAATTTACAGATGCTGCAAAATGTCCATCAACTGGTTCCTGAACAGCTACCTGCATAATGCCAATTACAACGAATTGGAATATGCAGAACAGAGCACATGTAACTACATGTCCAAAGAGACCTTCACAGTACAATCTGTCCAACCCTGCATTTACAGTAAAATCCGGAACATTTGCTTCATTGTAAGCAATAGGCACCAATAGCGCAGAAAAAGAAAGAGGGGGGACTCCTTCAAGCCTTTCCTTACCTGGTGGCAACTGAAAGTTCTGAATATTTGTTGGATTCTGAGGAGGCTGAGGCAGACGAGGTGCTAAAACAGTGGGAGTCAAAGTTGCTCTGATTCCACTTGTAGTTGCCGTCGGAGTCCTTGGTAGGCTCTGCGCCACTGTGTTGGCAGCACCCTTGGCCAGGCCTGTGGGGGTGCCTGGAGGCGCAGGAGGAACCCCACCAGGATTAGGGGCCACGTTGGGCAGGCCAGCTTGCATAGTTTGCCCGATTATCATATTACCCCCTGTAGTACTGGGCTGGCCACCAGCAGCCAGAGTCTGCTGTTGAGTTACCGTCTGCACAATAGTTTTAGGAGACTCCGATTTGATGACCTGCGTGGTGGGTGCAGCCGGTACCCCAGAACCTGGCTGGCTGTTCACGAGGGTGGTCTGGAGGGAAACACCAGACCCCACGGTGGCTGCAGCGACAGCCGCGGGAGGAAAACTCCCCACGTTGATGGTCGAATTGATCACAGTATTGCTCCCGTTCTGGGTGGCTGCAGCCACGGAGGGTCCTGCCGTGTGAATGGGTGGCCTCACCAATGCTACAGTTGGTCCCCCAGCTCCAATACTTGGGGGCTGCTGTGAGGAGATCACCGTTGGGGAGGGCGAAGAGGCGGAGGAAACCCCAGTGCCAAGGAAAGAAGTCTGGATGACGGTATTTGAAGCGGATGGCAAGACGGCGTTAACGGTACTGACTTTCCCCACATTTCCAGGTCCATTGTTAACAAGAGGGGTGACAGCAGGGATTACGGTAGGGTTTGCCGTTACAGGCGTGGCCGAGAAAGCAGCGTGAGAATTCATCACTACGTTACTCCCATTCAAGGTCTGCACTGTCGTGGTCCCAATTTTACCATTCCTGGTAGATAAAGCTGTTGCCATGGTGCTGATTACCACTGATTTACCCTGGCTAAGGGTCCCTGGGGTGACAGCAGCTTCAGATCCGCCTTGGACAGGTGCAGTGGTGCTGGTGCTGGTTGTGGTGGTCCCGTCCAAAGTAGAACCCTGGGACCTGGCGTTATGATTGATAACACTCCCTTGCACTCCACCAGCTCCTGCAAATAAAACAAAGGCAATTAAATGACAAGAACATACAAAAATAAGAGAGGAAGCCAAGAAGTCTTTTGACTAGAGAAGCCAAGAAGAAAACATCTGCCAAACTCTGCTAAAACAGTGGGACTCTTCTCCTTTGTCTTAAACTCTCTATATTGAATGACATGAAAAAGGTGAAAATATTTCCAGAGCGGAAAATAAAAAAAATCATCTCACTGTTCCCATCCCCCCACAAACGGTAAACTTAATAATTAACCAAAGCCATATATATATATGACACACACAATAAGAAATCAGCTCCTAAGGGGATTGATTATGTGTTTCTTTTTCCTTCTTTGGACACTATAGCACTGTGTTTGATAATACGCTACTGCAAGCCTGCTCTAGCAGTTGCAGGGAGGAAAAAAGAGAAAAGTAAATAGGGGGCAGCCCAGAGGCTTCAACCCCCTCCATACAATCCCCTCATCTGCTATAGGAAAACCTAGTGGCTAAATGTTTCCTGTTGAATGGAACAACGTGGAAAAGTGGGACTGAACAGCAGCTGTCAGAGAGATGATAGAAGGCAAGAGGTTGCAAGGCAATGTTAGAGGACTTCACCCTCCCTCTTAAACATACACACATTAAACCCTGCTGCTTTGATTGCTGCTCCTACAAAGGAAAACAAATACTAGCAAAGATGCTTCTTTTGCACCCAGAAAACCCACTGACCCTAGCAAAGTCTGGCATTATGTGTTACACCATCCCTGACTTTACAGGCCCCGTATTTAGAAGACACAAGTAGGAGGACTGTAATCAGATAGATAACGTCACACAAATCAGGGCTACCGGAGGGTTCTTCCTCCAAGATCCCCCTTTACTAACCTGGAGTCCTACGTGCAACAGCATCCCTGTAATATTTCAGTCACACAAAAGCGAGGGAAAAATATATAGAGGGGGAGGGGAGTGTAAATCATGGTGGTGGAAGGGGAGAGAAGCACTGTTTTCTTTCCCTTACAATGCTCCTCTAGCCATGCAATGAAAGACAGGACCAAATGTTATGATACCCCTCACAGTCCACTGTCTTGCTATAAAGGGGAAAACATTCACAGATGGGCTGTCATCTCTCCCAACCCCACGGGCAAGAGGGGCTTGTCCTCAGATTCGAAGCAAACCACACAGCCTGGCATATTGTTTAAGGAGAAAGAAGAGACTCAAAAGGTTGAGGTATAACCCCGACGACAACGGAAGGAGAAGCAGCCAAACAGACCGGCCTTTGCAAAGAGGTATATTTAAAAAGGGTTCCTGACCCCGACGTCCCCCCATCACTTCCTCTTCTCAAGGGAAGCTGGTGTCATGATTAATAACAATGCCCCCCCCCTGCACACAAAAATCCTTGCACTTCAGCTACAGAGAGTGGGGAGGGCAAGGGAGAATTCAGACAGCTCCAGAAGAGCATTATATATATACAGAGGGAGAGGGAGAGAGAGGACGGGAGAATCTCCCCTGTAAACAACACAATTTCTTATTTCTTTGACAAGGCAGTGGGTAGGGGGGAGGGGAGGAGGCGCAGAAGTCAAATGCCAAGGGTCTCCCCTCCCGATCAATCAGGAGCACCCCAAATACCCCAGCCTCCAGGAGATTGAAGTGGGGGGGGAGGGATGACATAATTAAAAAGGAGGGGGGTGGAGACGGTGTTAAAGAGGAGAACTGCCATACATACACACATATACAACCACAACAAAACCCCTTAATAATCCATTTCCACTCTAGATGTAGTAGGAAGGGGGGGAGGGGAGGCCAGTCCCAGCCAAAAATAGTATGTTGCGGGGAGGGGAGCGGGGGGGGGCGGGTTGGAGGGTGAGAGGTTGGCATTCTAGGAAGGCCTCCCTCGCCCCCGACCCTCTCCACCCAGCCACCCCCTTGCACACTCCAATTCCTATCATAACAACAACTGGGGGGGGGGTGGAGAGAGAGAGAATGGGAAAGAGGAAAAGGAAAGAGAAAAGAGCAAGGAGGGGAGCCAGCAGTCCCGGTTTAGGGGGGAAGAGGCAGGAGTAGGGGGGAACGGGGGCAGCAGGGGGGAGGGGAGAAGGGGAGCCCCCTCTGCCCCCCGAGGAAAGGGGGCAGCCCCTTCCCACCCCCACCCCCCGTCGCCTCGCCAGGTTACCTGGCTTGGTGATCTCGGGGCCACTGAGTCCCATCTTGGCGGCGCTGGTGGCGGCGGCGGCGGCGCTACTGCTGCCGCTGCCTCCGCCGGTGGTGGTGCCGGTGCCGCTGCCGGGGCTCTCGGTGTGGACATGAGCACTGCTGCTGCCGCCTCCTCCTCCTCCTCCTCCGCCTCCTCCTCCTCCGCCGCCGCCACCTCCTCCTACTCCTCCAGGGCTCGGGCTCGGGCTGCTGCTACTGCTGCTGCTGCTCACAACATGGTTCCCCAGCAGCCCCCCAGCGGCCCTGAGGGGCTCCTGCGCCCTGTGGTGCTGGTGGTGGTGGCTCGAGGCCGCCAGCTGAGACTCCAGGGAGCCCACCAGGTCGCTCACCACCTTCTCGTCCACATCAGGGTTCAGGAAAACCTCATCCAGCAGATCCGAGCCCGCCGCCATCTTTTTTTTGGAGGGTTCCTGTGAGAGGCTCCCGCCCGACCGACCGCCTGCCGGCCCCCCTCCTCCTCCTCCTCCTCCTCGCTCACTCCTCCCTCCCCCCGCCCCTCTCGCGCTCGCCACCCCTCCCCTCTCTCCCTCACTCACTCATTTTACACATACACCCAGCTCCCCTCCCGCCCCGGCCTTCCCGCACTGGGCATGCGCGCGAGGGAGGGGGGAAGAGGGGAGGGGCGGGCCGGCAGCCGAGGCATCACATCAGCGGCCGGAGAGGGATTCCGCCGGCTCCCGATTGGACGGCCGGTCGCTATAAAAGCTCGGGCAAATGGCTGCGAGCGCTTAGTGAGGGGACGGGCGGCGGCGGGCCCGGCTGCGGCCTAGCGAAGGGGGTTGGGGGGAAGGAGGAGAGGGGGGGGAGGAGGAGCGGCGGGTGCGCGCGCGGTTGGCGGAGAGGGGTTTGCGAGCGTGGCGGAGGCGGCACTGTTGACAGCCGCCGCCGCCGCCGCCTCAGAGGCGAGCAGCCGCCGTCGCAGTTCTTTGTCTGGCGAAGCCCAAAATGGCTGCATGTTCCGCGGCGGCGGCGGCGGCTCCCGCTCTTCTCCCTCCCTGCCTGCGCGCCCCTGAGGTTTCCCTCGGCGGAGCGGGTCTGAAGGGCAACCCCGCCGCACCTGTGCCAGCTGCTGTAACCGATACACCCGCGGGAAGGGGCGGCGGTGAGGGGAGAGGAAGAGGGCCGGGCTTGACCCGGCGGCGGCCCGCCTGCCTGTGGGTGAGAAGGGCCTCGTCCCGCCGGGGAAGCCCGCCCGCCTCGCCTCTTAGCTGAGGAGACGGAGGGTATCGCCCGCTCGCCTCGGCCTTGGGGGAAGAAGGGCCCGCGCTCGCTTCCTGGCCATGCCGGCTGCCGCCTCTTTCCTTCCCTCAGCCTTGGTTTCTAACAGAGTTTGAGATCTCTCACACGACAACCCGGGGGGGAACCCTTTCCCCCCCCGGCGCCTTTACATCCTCCCGACACCCCCCAATCCTTCTCATGGGGCTCCCCGTTTTGCAGACACACGCACAGGCTTCCCCCCCCCCAGTTGAAATGCGCCCCCTCTCTCCCTATTGTTAAAAATATTTTTAAAGAGTCCTCTTCAGTGTCAAAATCAGTGCCCTCCTCCTCTCCCGCCTTTATTTTTCAAATCGCTTCCTTAATTCTCTCTCTGCCAGGCCGGCAAGAAATCTTTTTTCCCCCACCACGTCAAGCCGCCGCCTTTCCATTTAGGAGGTTCTCTAGTATAATTGATCCTCGCACACTTTTTTTTCTTATTTCATGCTGTCCTGAGAGCAGCTGGCTGCTCACATCGCAGCCATGTCGTCATACCTTCCAGTTTTTAAGTTGCTATTTGAGAGAGAGAGAGGAGAGATCTCCACTTTGCATGTAAAGAATTTCTCTGAAGGAGACAACTCCTGTTTCTAAAGTAAGCTGAAAGGAGAAGGGTAGCAGATAGGCTTTAAAGTGCAGAGACTGAAGGAATGTAGGACCTCACCCCCAAATCTGGGGATGGGTACAATTCCTCTTTCGGTGTCACTTCATAGAATCATAGAGCTGGAAGGGACCCCCAAGGGTCATCTAGTCCAACCCGCCACGATGCTATCCTTAATGCTCTTAACATCTCCCCCCCACCTTTACATGGCTTAAAGTCACTTGTAATCAGATTTTGGTGTGCTTTTTTTGGTCAAAACAACTCACCGAAGCTTCCTATAGTGGTCCTTTTGCATTGCAAAGTCACATTTGTTAGTGCCGCCCTTGTCATAGTGTGGTTGGCCGGCAGCGTAAAGCTGCCTGTGAAGATCTCTGAGCTCTCCTTCCTCAGATTGGCAAAGGTGCAGGCTATGTGTCACAATTTATCGCCAGTCAGTTGTAAATGGAATCATTCAGAATTCTCTTTGTGTTCCTCTCCCTGCCTTCTTTAACCAATTTAATCTGGAAAGTATGTACTATCAGGCTGTGCTAGTCACTGTCTCCCTTGCCGAGATACCTTATGTTGCTGTTGCCCTTTATTAATTATTTCTGTGCTTAGCCCACCCCATCCTGAGGGTTCAGGATGGGTGGCAGTACTTTATTCTATAATTTATACTTCTAATGAGACTTTTAGAATGGTGAAAATTAGAGGGGATGGAAATATCTACTTAAACCTGACAATTAAAAGAATCCACCGATACCAAGGCTTTTAATACCAGGCGTCAAGCTCTTGAACAACTCCCAGTTTTAAGACAGAGGGGTTATGTTTTGCTTTACAGCATATTTCATCTCGGTTTTAAGGAGTTAAGAAGGCTAAGCTTTCCTGTTATCAGTCAGTGTCGGTGCACGGCAGGTATTTCAGGTGTCTCTCTGGGCAACTGGAGGGGGTCTGCACTCCTTGCAGCAGGTAACTGGTTTTGTTCCCAATTAAGGATAAGCTAAGGAACTACTGAAAATGGGTAGCATACATGGAAGCTGCTAACCTACCGTATGTCAAGAATTTCTACAAAAAGACAATGAAATTCTTGATTTTGAATTTAGAAAACTTTGCAAACTGATAGCCCCATTCTTTATGCAAGCTACGTAAATACACAGAGAAAGGGTTTTTTATATTAAAGCCTTGGGAGAAAAAGAAAAGGGGGGGATGATCAGTAGCTATTCAGACTGCCCTTTAAAGTTCAGCATCAAAAGGCAGGGGGAAAGGATGGCTTGAGAGCATCATAACTAAGTCATTAACCCCTCACGTCTCAGGAAAAGCTGTAAACCTTTACACAGGCTAGAAAAAAGAACCTAAATAAATCTGCTTCATGCTTTCCTTTCTCTTGACAGAGGGAACACATGCCATGCCCTTGATTCTGATCACCACTGCAAGAGATGGTGTCTGAGACATACCAGCTTCCCTTACACATTTCAGACACCCAGTTTTCCCGAGTTTGCACGTAAGACTCTTAATATGAATTAACTTCATGTCTGTCATATTATTGACCCTTTGTCCTTTTAATCTGGCCATTTTACACTACCCTACCCTAAATCCTGCCTGTCTTTTGGATAGCTACACATACTGCTTGGTAATTGCTGCCTTCACAACAGGTAGTAGAGGTTTTTTGTTTAGTAAAATAAATGGAAAGAGCTAGGGCAGAAATATACCACATATCTTGCCTTTAAAAAAAGAAAGAAAGAAAGAAAGAACTTAAAGCAGCTTACAAACCAGAAAAGACTTAATATTTTAAATCCTAACACCCAACGCCTCTAAGACAGCAATGGCAATAAGGGGCGGCATGTTACTTACCAAAGTCCAGGTTGTCAGGAAGCAATAGTTACAAGTTGCTAGTCATTCTTGCCTATTATGTCGTGCTTCTGTTTCCTTTTACCTTTGCCCTGTCTATCTCTCTTGCAGCAAAATTACTAGTGAGCCTAATCACCTCTGAGGGAGGGGAAAAAACCTTGCCACTTCTATGATCCGTGCAGCAAGTAGAATAGTTTGCACTAAAATCTTAAACAGTTCCTCAAGGAGGAAAAATGCACTGTTTATGTGACGCAAACTACTTTACAAACAGACCAATCATAGCCATGTTTACAAAGCAGTACCATTGATTCAAGTGGCTTTTACTGTACTTGCCAGTGTGTATGCTTAGAACTGCTGTCCAAGAGTGCAGGCCACTTCCAGTATGGCTTAGTCCAGAGATGGGAACAAGGTAGAATATGGTTTTGTCAGTGGACCGCTAGCCAATATCTGATAACACTGCTTAGTGCCTGGGATTCTTGATGGACTAGGTCAGGCTTCCTCAAACTTGGCCCTCCAGATGTTTTTGGCCTACAACTCCCATGATCCCTAGCTAGCAAGACCAGTGGTCAGGGATGATGAGAATTGTAGTCTCAAAACATCTGGAGGGCCGAGTTTGAGGAAGCCTGGACTAGGTGGACCCTAATAACATGCTGCAAAGCACTTCTTAAGTGTGCTCTTGCCTTGTAAAACAGTATGTTGGCTGGCTCAGATCAGTATCTCATAATTAACAACCAGCCACTCAGCCAGCTGTGAGAGGTATGTGAAGCACTTTGAGATCAAAATTGCTCGGATCTGTGCCAAACTTGATGCCACAATTAGTGCAGTTCCATTGGAGGTTCTAGACCATCATATTGTTACAGCCTGTGGGGTCTATTTCCATTGTTGTATAGCCTGAAGAAGTGTAGGGAACACTTGCAGCAGTGAGGCTGACTATAGTCCTCTTGATCCCAACTCATTTGACTAGCAAAATATAGTATGAGATGGTTAAATGAATGGGAAGAATGCCCATTCCCCGCCTGAAAAGATCTTCCTGAGATACAGTTTTTTGAGGAAACTACCAGTTTCTAATATTCCCTTCCTGGGCAAGGTGGCCATCTGGCATCAGGTATGCCTGGAAGAAGCAGATTATCTAGACTCAAACTGGTTTCAGGTCTGCTTTTCGCACCAAAACTGCCCAGGCCAACCTGACACAACTTGGGTTGGTTTGCTAGTGACGGCCATTCCTGGACTCGGATGACTTGGACTCAGTTGTCCATGCTCTGTTGACCACCCATCTGGACTACTTCAATTTACTCTATGTAGGGGCTGCCCTTGAAAACAGTCCAGAAGCTGCTGCTAGCAAAATATATTGCTGCTACATTTACAGCCTAGTGGAACCATGTGGAACTTGGTCCTGAAAGCACTGCACTAGCTGCCAATGAGCTACGGGGCCCAATTCAATGTTAGCATTTGTGTACAATGCCCTAAACAGCTTGGGGCCCAAGTTCCTAAATCAACATCTCCCTCATTATCAACCATTTTGGGCCCTAGAATCTGCAGGTGAGGCCCTGTTGGTGGTACTCCTCCCGGGGGCTGTGAAATACTGTAGGTGTTCACACAGGCGCCTTGGTTGCAATTCTGTATTTACTGAATGCCCACATTGGTGAGATATATCTGTCCCCCTTTATCTAACATTTAGGAGGAAATTAAAACAGAGATTCTTCACCCAGGCTGAAATATGTTGATCCCAGCAACCTTACAAATATTAACTATGAGTATATATGATTGTTTTTAGAGGGGCTTTTTAATTAATTGTTTTGTTTGCTCCCTTAATAAATGTATCCTTCTCCCCGCCCCCCCCAGACCATATATAATCACAGTCAGCCTATCCCTGGCTTAGTCTGAGGCAGTTTCCTAAAAGTACAAGTAAGGTAAAGGGACCCCTGACCATTAAGTCCAGTTGCGGACAACTCAGGGGTTGCGGCGCTCATCTCGCTTTACTGGCCGAGGGAGCCGGCGTTTGTCCACAGATAGCTTCCAGGTCATGTGGCCAGCATGACTAAGCCGCTTCTGGTGAACCAGAGCAGCACAGGGAAACGCCGTTTACCTTCTGGTCAGAGCGGTACCTATTTATCTACTTGCACTTTGACGTGCTTTCGAACTGCTAGGTTGGCAAGAGCTGAGACCAAGCAATGGGAGCTCACCCTGTTGTGGGGATTCGAACCACTGACCTTCTGATCGGCAAGCCCAAGGCTCAGTGGTTTAGACCACAGTGCCACCCACGTCCCTAAAAGTACAAGTAGGCTGTTCTAAATAATGCTCAATTCAAGGTTTACAGGCTACTTCATATGTGCAGATGTTCACATAAGATGTTTTACCTAAAAATGTAAACAGTAAATGTGTTAACAAATCTGGTTTCCTGTGTATTTGCAAAGAAGAATATGCTGAGTTAAAATAATCTTGCTGCATCATAAAATTACTTTAAACTTTTTTCTGCAAATTGAGGATAATCCAGTAAGATAAATATTTAATTTGCAATATTTTAATGAGTGGTGGGCAACGTGGCTTCTGAGGCCCTCTGTTAATGTTGGTAGTGTGTTGCTGCCACATAGCTTGCTCCCATACAAACACCCTGAGATATATGGAAGAAATCCAGCTGCTGCACTTTACACCCTGAGCTTCTCCTATATAGGTCAGGACATGCTGCACTATACCAGCTCCACACGAAGGAGCCATGCTGTAGTGCAGCCTTCACCCACCTGCTGCCGCCTGTGCTGGCTGAGACTCATGGGAATTGTCTTTAGACATTTGACAGGCATCCAGTTTGTGGAGCCTGCTGTATTTGGTCCCGTGCTCTCAGTATAAGTGGGGAAAGTTTATATCCTCATGCAAAATAAAGAGGGTAAAATTTTGGACTGTTGCATTTCAGAGTGTAGGTACGGGGAGAGTCATAGTTGTTAAATGCTTTTTCACACAAGACTCCTGTATGTAGCACATCAAAGGATATCCCTGATACAATGGTATATGCAAGGAAAGTTATATATGGGGAAATAATTATTTTAAAATATGCAACCCCCAACATGAAGCCAGAAGTGATACAATCCAAAGCTTTAGAACCTCATTTAATTTTCAAGCTGACAAAAAGCTGAAAATAAGAGGCCATAATTTAGTTCTTTTCAGTTTCGATTTTTTGACTTCCCTATGAATTCCCTTACATTAGGTCATAGTATCAGGATTTCTCAAGGAGTTGGCTTTTCCACAACTTATTTTCAAATCCAAGGCAGCATCTTCATTGAACCATAATGGGGGGGGGTCTCTATCTCTCAAGTTTTTTACGAAGTGTGAGAACATCAAACTGCCAATTTACACACTAGCCATAATCTCAACATTAACGTTTGCTTAACCTTATCAAACTGAGCAGAGTTAAACTTCTTCCATGCTGAATTGAATTGTGGGCTGTTTTTGTGGCTTTCTTACATACGGGCATTTTGTGCTAGTGTTTTGTGTCTGTTATAACCTTGCAAGCCTAGACAACTTTCTAGGCTACGTACACATGACATTTTTCAGCTGCATGCACACATTTTATTATAGAATCAATAGAGACTTGAGTACATTTCCCCCTGTGTAGTATACACACAAAATCCAGATCTTCTCCCTATTGCCCCCCCCCCCACGAAAAGCACTCTTAGAGAAACCAGATTCATTCTAAAAATAAAAGCTCATTGCAGATTGAGTCTGCCCTACCCCCAAATGTATCCATTTGAAAGCAGATGTCGAGGGCCCTGTCAGTGGGGGGGGGCATACCCACACCTGCCCCAGTTCCATTGTAGGTGGGCATATACAAAAGCCACAATCACCACTTCATTTGCCTGAGTCATGAAAGAGCAAAAGGCATGGAAAACCTAATGAAAGGGTGAGGCTTTAGAACTTGTTTCAAGTAGCTACATCCACCCTTAGGTATAGCAGGATCTAGAATCAATCTAAATGGAAAGCAGCATGTTGAATACAAGCATGAATGATTCTGGATTGAGAAACACTACATTTTTGTGCTACAAGCAGTTAAAGTGTGTACGGCTTTACTGACAGGTATATCTTCTTGCTCCAGAAATTTCCGCAGCCAAGCATGAAGACGGTGAAAGTAACACATGAATCGCCTCACATACAAGAATCTTGAGTTCTATAACAGTTTTTTGGGGGCAAACCTTTGGTCTGAGGTGAACTCAATATTGCCCTTTAACCTGCAGGTTGGTCTTTAATTGGTTCTTATTGTGATGAAATATATTTTAAAGCTAGATGTTTTGTATTTGTGGGGTTTTTTGTTTTGTTTTGTTTTGCTTCAGCCTGTGGTTTTTTATTTTAATAGTTAACCACACCAATACATTTTTGAGTAAATAGCTGATGATCTGCCAGCCATTTAGAGGAGGAATTGAGTTCTGAGATGTAGAGCGCATGCATGCACAGGGTCCCACAACGAACCCGTGCCACCGCCTAAATAAATCTTGGGCAGCAAGACTAGGAGATGAGACACAGCAGAACCACAGCTGTTTAACAGTAGACAGTACTGGGGGAGAGGAGATGGTAGTTTCAGATATGTTCACCATAATTTCTAACCTTTATACTTGCAATGCAGATATCTTCACAGTAAAATAAAAAGTTGGCTTTCAACACGCTTTGTTTGCCTGCTGTCCAAAGGGGCGTTTCCACATACATTTTCATCACCTGATGACCATAATAAAATGGGTGGTTTGTATGCATAATACAGCCATCACAGATCTAATGGCACCCAAAACTATAGTTGTTTTAAATAGTTTTTATGCTGTGACGCGCCCTGGGACCTTAGGGTGAAGGGTGGTTAATCATAATAATATAGATTCAGCCTTGGTGCTAAATTTCCTTATGTGCAAATTGGGTGTTTTGACATAAGCTTTTAGATCCCACTTCATTAGATGCATGAAATGTTATCCTCAGTTGGCAGTTATCAGCCATCTGAGAACAACACTTCACGAGTCTGTGGAAGAGAACTCTAGGCTAGAATACCTTATGCACAATATTGGTGTGTTAGTTTTTTAAGGAGTCACAAGATGCTTCATTGCAGACATCTTTGCCTGAATCATCTCAGTATACAGTAGATTCCAAGAGCAATGGAGGCACAAAAAGCCTGTTTCTTCATGTGGTTGAGCTGGTTCTGGAAAAAAAATGTTCTAAAGACCAGTTTATGCATTCTACAACCTCAGGCCTTGTTGCCTAGTTCTTTTAAAGTTGTCTCAAAAGTGCATTCAACTTTGCCTTGCCTATTTTTCAGCATAAGCCCAATAACTTCCAGTACATTTGCCTGAAGGTGTATTATCCAGAAAAGCCCTTTAAAGAAGACATTGGAACAGGCAATGCAGAAAGTACCTCCTGAATTACAATTAAATTCTGAAGTTATTTAATTTAAGGGGGAGGAGAGATTGTGTCATCATAAGTTCTCACTACATTCTCTGAAAACCTCGAGTAGGCTGTTGATTTCTTATTTTTTATTAAGTAAAGCTGCTATCCTTCCCTAACATTGGATAGAATAAACGCTATAATCTGGCTCTGAAAGCTGTGTTGGATGGGAGACCACCTGGGAACCATCTGTAAGTTGCTTTGAGGTCTTTAGAGGAAGCACATGGTATAAGCAATAAATAAATGAAGACTGTTTACGTTCATATTCAAAGCTTGTATGTTTGGATAAGGAATATTCCTTAGGGGGAAATGGGACTGCTCAAGTCCTTTGATTCGTAAGAAGTGTTTCCTGAGTTCAATTAATATATTTCCTTTTTTAAAAAAAGTAGTTTTATTGTTTCAAGGAACAGATCTTGGGCAAGGGTAGGGATGAATAAAGGATTTTTAAAGCAATAGTAGCACTGAAATGAATTTCAAAGTGTTCAAATATGCACACGATCATTTAAAATGCAAAATTCTAATTTTGAAATTCCAAATCCAGATTTGAAATTTGACTCTAGCTTTCAAGTTCTATTTATGGCTGAATTTTCCATTCCATTGGGGTGGAAATGTTCAGATTTTTTTGTAGGTTCACATGAATGTTGGTGACAAGTTTGAGTTGCAGCATGGGAAAAATGTGAATTGAATTGCAACGTAGACACTGCATACTGAATTTTGCGGGTTTCATAGACTTCACATTCCACTTGTCATGCAACACTTGGGAGGAAAGAGCTACTGGATATTAATATAACAAATCAAGTAAAACTGTATTGTCCCCATGTTGCTTCCATGTAACTATTACAACTGTGCCATTTAGTCTGTTTGAAAGAGTTTGACAGGCATGGCCAAACTTGGTCCTCCAGATGTTTTGGGACTACAACTCCCATCATCCCTAGCTAACAGGACCAGTGGTCAGGGATGGTGGGAATTGTAGTCCCAAAACATCTGGAGGGCCAAGTTTGGCCATGCCTGGTCTAGGAGAAAGCATTGCATCGTAAGTCTCAAGCCATTGAACCTAGTGGACTTCTCAACACAGCTGCTACTTTTCTACAGCAGCCAGTTTCTGAATAACAGTTTATGTATGGTTTTGGTTGCTGCTGCTTCCAGCTGTCTTGAAGATACATTGCCAGGTTACACAGTTCTTTAAGTCACTGCAAACACTTTGTGACCACAATTACAATGAATCAAACTTGTACTTGATCTATAGATAAACACTTTGGGTAGAAATCAGCATGGCACTAGAAGGTTGTTCAGTAAGCATAAGCATTTTTGGTTGCATGATAGAACCATCTCCTCTCCTCTCCCCACAAACTATTCTGGGATTTCTCTCCCCCCCTCCCAGAGCAGATTTGTGGGGTACATGGGAGGAAAGGGTGGGGAAAGCCCTACTGGAGTTGTGCTGGCTTCCACTAATGAGACCAAGTACTGTAGCTGAATCCAGCCCATAACCTAGATTGCTGCTGATACTACCAGCTGTCACTATCCATTGCCACATTTGGTTCTTGCACCAAATACACACACCTAAAAAAACTTGAGTTCTCATATTTTGACTCTTATTGCACTCAACACATTAATTTTTATTAAATTTGTATACCACCCTTCATCTGAAGGTCCCAGGGCAGTTCACAACAGAAAAATACAAAATGAAAATACAATATACATAATAAAAACCAATAGCCCCCAACACATTTTTTAAAAAGCCATGGGGTGTTCAATCAACACCTGGTTGAAGAGAAACATTTCCCCTGCCTAAATATATGTAATGAATGCGCCAGGTGAGCCTCCCTTGGGAGAGCATCTCATAAACGGAGCCATTGCAGAAAAGGTCCATTCTTGTGTTGCCACCTTCTGGACCTCATGAAGGTGCACAAAGAAGGGCCTCAGATAAACAGTTTAGCTTTTTACTCTTAAAGTCATTTAAACAATGCCCAATCAAAAATGGAATGGGATAGTCTAAAAAAGTTATCCACCTTGGCTCCCAATTCCATATTAAATCTCACCTTTTTGAGGGGCTTGTGTTACTAACAGCCAACCATGTTGGGTGTGTAAAATTTATACCCATTTTCCTCCCCTCTTGTGCCATCCCACGATAGGTAAAAGGTACCCCTGCCCATACGGGCCAGTCGTGTCCGACTCTAGGGTTGTGCGCCCATCTCACTCAAGAGGCCGGGGGCCAGCGCTGTCCGGAGACACTTCCGGGTCACGTGGCCAGCGTGACAAAGCTGCATCTGGCAAGCCAGCGCAGCACACGGCAACGCCGTTTACCTTCCCGCCAGTAAGCGGTCCCTATTTATCTACTTGCACCCGGGGGTGCTTTCGAACTGCTAGGTTGGCAGGCGCTGGGACCGAGCAACGGGAGCGCACCCCGCCGCGGGGATTCGAACCGCCGACCTTTCGATCGGCAAGTCCTAGGCACTGAGGCTTTTTACCCACAGCGCCACCCGCGTCCACGATACAGAAGTGATTAACTTTTGGAGAAGTTTCTGGTACTTAAAAGTGTTTGCAAACATGTTTGCTGCATTTACACTATTCCAGTTTTTATTCTTCAAATGTGCTTGTTGATTTTGCATTACTTCCTGCCCCAAAACCGCAGCTCATTTAATAGCCCAGAACCTATCCCTTACTGCTGGGTATTTTCTTCTTTTGAAAAAGTTTTATTGAAACTTTTCAGCATACTGTCCAATAAAAAACAAACTAAGTAAAAATTAAAAAAGAAAATTTCAACTTCATCTTCAGCCATTTAAGAATATTGGTTTCATCATCTAAGTGGTTTTCCTGATTCTTGTGTCCTTAAAAAATCTTGTGGATATAATGGCTTTGTGTTTGCCAATATAAACAGGTCCCAATTATTGTCTCTTGTTTTGAAAGGGATCCGATTCAAGCTTTTAAAAGTTGATGTCCTGTAATCAACTCCGTACCAAAGACGCCTGAGTAAGCTTAGCAGTCAATGGAGAAAATGAACTCTCCTCTTATGGATCAGTAACTGTTGCAGAAACAGGAAGAGAGTAGGAATAAATGGATATTTCTCCAACCAGAGGGATGTAGAAAGTGCAGTCCTTTTTCAGCTTGTTGATAAATTATCTAGACCAGAGCTTTTCAAACTGTATATTGCAACACATTAGTGTGTTGGCTACAGTGTGTAGATGTGTCACGCGAACGCTCCTCATGCTCCTCCAATGGCTGGAAAGGGGTTAATTTAACGTCTGGTTTGCTAGTAAAACTGAATTACTGTGTCGCGAAATGATGCATGTCTAAAAAGTGTGTCACCAACATGGTGATTTAGATTAAGGGGTGAGCAGTGAAGTAGCCAAGTTACAAGGGATTGTAAAGACCTCCAAAAGGGCTTCTCCAAACTGAGTGAATGAATGTAAAATTGCAACAGCACATTAATGCAAGCAAGTGTAAATTGAGGCACATTGGGACAAAAAAAAACCCTTAATTTTGCATATACACTCATTGGGTCTGTACTGGCAATGTCTGGCCAAACGATCGCCTCCTTCCCTACAGACCCTCTCTGGTGCTAAGATGGGTGGAGGGTGCCCTCTTGGTTGTTCCAGCATGCTCAGAAGCTTGGATAAGGCTGTCAACAGATACTAACCATACAGGTATGTTTTACCTCCACGGTAGGAGTAGAACATCAAACATTAAAAACTTCCCTATACAGGACTGCCTTCAGATGTCTCCTAAAAGTCAGTTTGTTACCTAGACATATGACGGAAGGGCGCTCCACAGGGTGGGCGTGACTACAGAGAAGGCCCTCTGCCTGGTTCCTGTAGCTTTACTTCCCACAATGAGGGAACCGCCAGAAGGTCCTCGGAGCTGGATTTCAGTGTCTGGGCTGAACGATGGGGGTGGAGACGCTCCTTCAGGTATACAGGGCCGAAGTACAACACACAAAGTGTAAACCAGCCCCAACTGAATATTCACAATAACAAGTCCTTAATAGTATTTACTGATACTATTCACTCCTACAGTTTGCCCTGCACAGGCATGGAGGCAGAGTTGGTATGCAAATGTGTTCTAAGGGTTGGGACTTAAGGAGGCAGTGATTACTGCCTTGCGTTCATCGCAATCAGCACTGTTGCCGTTCTGCTACAGTTCTGCTTCTTCTAAAACCTATGTCGATGCCAGAAATGATGTAATTCATCATGTATGAATGGAAAGGAAACATCAGAACATGACAAGAACTATTTACATCATGTTGCAGATTTAAAGGGAAAACACCATAGCCAATACCACTGCTATTTGCTTGCATGATTTCCATTCCAGACTTCCTATGAACATGCAGTTTGTGGCAATTTACACTCCCATTTTTACAGCATCCCTATCTAGGGGTCAGTCTTTGTTTGAGAATCTTTGTTTAGTGGTGACTTATAACTAACATGGATGGACTGTCTATAAGCAAAGGCAAGGCCTGCATGAAAGGAAGTAGCATTTTGCTAAATTTCTTGTAGAGTCTTAAGAATGCATGGCGGGGGTTCGCTGGAAAGCTAAATTCATGATCCTTCAACACAGATGCTTAAGGTACTACTTTGAGTATCCTCGTTAATTTCAGTGGTCTTGTGGAAGTAAAGCTCATTCCACATATCATTGGTTTGGTTTTTTAACTGATGCTAGCAACAGTCCTGGGATGCGGGTGGCGCTGTGGGTTAAACCACAGAGCCTAGGACTTGCCGATCAGAAGGTCGGCGGTTCGAATCCCCGCAATGGGGTGAGCTCCCGTTGCTCAGTCCCCACTCCTGCCAACCTAGCAGTTCAAAAGCACGTCAAAGTGCAAGTAGATAAATAGGTACCGTTCCGGCAGGAATGTAAACAATGTTTCTGTGTGCTGCTCTAGTTCGCCAGAAGCGGCTTAGTCATGCTGGCCACATGACCTGGAAGCTGTACGCCGGCTCCCTCGGCCAATAAAGCGAGATGAGCGCCGCAACCCCAGAGTCAGTCACGACTGGACCTAATGGTCAGGCGTCTCTTTACCTTTACCTTTTTAGCAGCAGTCCTAAGTATATTTACAAGGAATCTCTGCTGCAATTCTATATAAACACTTACTTGGGAGCAAGCCCTACTGAGCTCAGTGAGCCTTACTTCTAAGTAAACATGCCTAGGATTGCCCTTTATGTCCTTTTGAACTGAGTGTGGCTTGCTTCTAAGTAAATATGTTTAGGATCAGTCTGTATATGCTGTGATTAAATCTCACATTATTGAACTGGGCCTGCACTAATGGTTGAC